TGACTCACGACATTGACTTAGACCAGGATGGTGATGCTGGAGACAGATGTGTCACCTGGCTTAGCCTTTGGGGCACTGAGAATGTTCCCTGAGGTCCATGACTCAGCCTCAAATAAATGACGGCCCAACTGAAATAGACTGCACACAAGCCACAGGGAAGAGGTAGGCCCCCAGCTGTGGACTCCGGGAAGATGGTTCAAGGGACTGCCTAGAGGGCTCAGGGGAGAACATCAGTGGGGTGGACCAAATCACCAGATCAGTAGAGCTGTCAAAGGGCTTTAGTAATGAACTATAAGAGAGGAGATGAGATGCCATATTTTTGTCATTCTCGGTCCCTTGGTAAACAATGCCAATGTGGTCACTTTGGTGTAGGGTCCAGCTGTGTGGCGGGAGAACATTCAGAGGGAACCTCTTGCTTCACAGCTGGAAAGTTCAAATCGCCGAGCTTCCAGTACCAGCTGAGCACTTTAACCACTGCACCACCAGGGGCCCTAGGTTACAAAGGCACCTAAATTACTGGGGACATTCTAAAGGGTTAAGAGTCCTCTCTCAGGAACTATGTAGGGAGAAGCTAAATAAATAGTACAGAGCTAAATCCTGTCCTGTGACATTTTTTCTCCACCGGCATGGAGTCTCATAGTCTGTCGCTGAACTAGACAAATATTTGAGCACCCACCCATTAGGGGCAGAAGACCTCCTCTTAAACCTCATGTAAGAGGGTGGGTTCCCTCATTGGCTTTTTTCCAGCTCTGTTCCCATGCCCCAGGACACATTTGCACTGTATAGATCCCAGTGCTCCATTGGTTGGATTCAGAAGCCAAGATCTTATTCTCACAGCTCTAGAGGCCAAGACTTCCAACTCCATTCCTTTGCAGATGGCTAGGGCCCAGAGAGGAGAGGGTTTCTGCTACCTTAAAGGCTTACAGTCTCAGAAAGCAAGGCGGGAAGCTCCACTCTGCCCTGTAGGGTTGCTATGATTGGGAATGGGCTCGATGGCAGTGAGTGAGTGAGGGCCCAGAGAGAAACACTGCAAAGTCATCATCTCCAGATTACTGCCCGCATCCCATTCTCGATAGGAGCCCTGGTAGCTGAGTGGCTGTGCTTTGGACTTCTAACTGGAGTGTTGGCAGTTCAAAATCACCAGCCACTCCAAGGGAGAAAGACGAAGCTTTCTATTCTCATAAAGAATTGCAGTCTTAGAAACCCAAAGGGATGGTTCTACCTTGTCCTGTAGGGTTGCTATGAGTCTGCATCAACCGGATGGCATCAACTGGATGGAGTTTGAGTTTTATTCAAAGCTCCTGGACTGGCCCTGCAATATGCATGCACTGCCACTAGATGGCGAGGCAGAGTTATAAGCTTTTGCCTTTCAACTCTGACTTGGCAAGCAATGCCCACTTCCAAGTCACTTAGTGTGGGGTTTACACTAACTTTACGGAGCGTGATTTAGTCTTTGTCCTTAGTTCTTCAGAGAGAACTCTTAAACCCTTGGAATCCACTGAGGAATTTAGGTGCCTCTGTTATCTAGGAGCACTGGTGGTGCCGTGGTTAACGTGCTCAGCTGTTACAGAGAGGTTCTACCTGTCTGGGTGTTCTCCCGCCACGTAGCAATCTGAACCCCAGTTTTTCCCACCTGACTTCAGGGTTGCAGCTGCCTAACACAGTGCCTTGGTGTGCCTTAGAAAAAGCCATTCTCCAGGGACCAGACCAAATACAGGGATACACATGGTAGACAACTAAAAAGGAGGTGGGGAGAGGAAAAATAATAATAATAAAAAAGAAATGGGTAG